TCTGCTCCTGCTCTGGGATTCGGCCTGCGCTCACTCTGCTCCTGCTCCAGGACTCGGCCTGCACTCACTCTGCTCCTGCTCCAGGACTCGGCCTGCGCTCGCTCTCCTCCTGGTCCAGGATTCGGCCTGTGCTCACTCTGCTCCTACTCCAGGTTTCGGCCTGCGCTCACTCTGCTCCCCATTCTGAGACTCAGCCCCTGCTTGCAAAACCCTGAAGAAACGGTTGACATAAATTCAATGTCAATGTTGCAGGAGACTGTTCCATCTCCATTGGGTCCTCACTGCTCAACAAGTAAAGTCATTTCTGCTATAACGCATATTCCGACAACGCAAATTAGTTATCACATGACTGATGAATAGGGGAAAGCTATTTCTAAAACATGAACTTGCGATAGTTATAACACGATTCCATCATAAAACTGGATGTCTTTTTTAAGCCAACCCCCAAGAAACAGTCAGAAAACAGTGGACCACGGCCCATCCACTTCTGGATTAACTATTTTTCATCCTAACCCTGAAACCATGACTGCACCTGAAGGTGATGATAATGATGTTGAAGAAGATGGCGAAGACGAACCTTAGCCACTGCATTAACAACAGAGCAACCTCAAAACCTCCTCCCCCATCAAGTCATCTTGACATTTTTTCAAGGTAAGGTGTTAAATTTACTTTTATTTCTTTATTAGATATGAATTAAACATTTATTCAAACTGTGCTATCTTTTATCTTAGACTTTTTAGTGATTTCTTTTGGTGGTCTATCTTAAACCCCACTTTTCCCATAGGCCCCATTATTTCTATCGCTCAAATTTCTGTAATGCGATGTTGCATAGGACATAACTATTGTATTATAGTAGAACCGACTGTATAGAATCCATTTGATTTCTTTACAGTAAGTTGTTTGCTTTACTTTACTTAATCATCTGTAATCCCTTTGAATCACGAATTCACTCGGAGTTCTGCATTCATCTTATTCTGCTGCATACTGGTCGCTAAAGCCAGCTTCCATTTCAATTTGCAACAATTCACACTGACCATGTTCCCAAACTAAATTAGTCCCACTTGCCTGCATTTGGCCCATATCCCTCCAAACCTTTCAAGTTCATGTACTCATCCAAATGTCTTTTAAACATTATAACTGTACCTGCATCCACTACTTCTCTGGATGTTCATTCCACACACGAAGCACTCTCAGGGAAAAACTTTAAAAAGTTCTTTTTAAAACTTTCACCTCCCACTTTAAAAATATGGCCCCTAGTTTTGAACTTACCCACCTGAGGGAAAGAACCCCTGCTATTCTCCTTTTCTATGCCCGTCATGTTTTTATAAATCCTTATAAGGTCACCCCTCAACCTCCTACACTCCAGTGAAAATATCCCAGCCTATGTTTATAACTCAAACCTGTCATTCCTGGCAACATCCTGATAAATATTTTCAGAATCCTCTCCAATTTAATAATATCCCTCCTACAGCAGGGCAATGACTCTATGTCCTGATGTAGTGAGATCTGGTCAGTATCCAGGCTTGGGCTGTTAAGTATCATATAAATACTTGTGTCACACAAGTGTCAGGCAATGACCAGTTCCAACAAATGAAAGTCTAACATTCACCTCTTGACATTTATTGGTTTTCCCATCATTGAATCCTCTATAAGCAACATCCAGCAGGTTACCATTGACTACAAGCTGAACTGGGCTAACCATATAAATATAGTGGCTCAGGGGCTGATCAGAGGCTAATAATTCTGTTTTGACTAACTCAGCTCCTGTCGCCCTAAAGACTGTCCACCATTACAAATAATTGGTGAGAAGTACAGTACAATACTCCCTAAATCATTGCAGCTCCAATAAGACCTATGAAGCTTGACACCATCCAGGACACTGGGTCCAAAACCCCTTGGAGTATCTTCCTAATAGTACTGTGGGTGATGCTACACAGGAGGAATCGCGAGAAGACAAAAAGCCAGCTCAGTCACATCTGAGATAACAAGGTGTGGAGCTGGATGAACACAGCAGGCCAAGCAGCATCAGAGGAGCAGGAAGGCTGACGTTTCGGGCCTAGACCCTTCTTCAGTCACATCTTGCCCTTGGCTATCAGGAGTGGGTGAAAAAATAAATGCTGATCCAGCCAACAACACCAGCACCCAATGAAGGGATGAAAAATTAAACTGCATTATTGGTCTGTCGTAATTCATAGAAGCATGCCATTCGCAGTTTTAATCTAAGCTTAAGGCAGAAGTGTCACCTTGGAGAAGCTCACTGATGGTAAAGGTAATTCTAACAGGCCTGGACAGGGTAGATGCAGGGAGGATGTTCCCGATGGTGGGTGTGTCCAGAACCAGGGGTCACAGCCTGAGGATTCGGGGTAGACGATTTAGGATGGAGATGAGGAGACAAAGAGTGGTGAGCCTGTGGAATTTATTACCACAGGAAGTAGTTGATGCCAAAACATTGAATGTATTCAAGAGGTGGCTAGATATAGCACTTGGGGTGAATGGGGTCAAAGGTTATGAGGAGAAAGCAGGATTAGGCTATTGAGTTGGACAATCATCTATGATCGTGAAGAATGGCCTCCTCCTGCTCCTATCTTCTAAGTTTCTATGTTATTTCCTTAGATATAGAGGAGTTAGCAATAACCATTAAAGTAACAAAATTTGGCATGTGTAAAATCAAGCAATGTCAACACGGCAGTCTGAGTATCTAGTAAATATCATTTTTTAAATTCATTCATTCACACCTCATGTGTATGTTAGGCCCATCCATAACTGTCCAGGGGCCAGTTAAGAGTCAATTACATTGCTATGGATCTGGAGTCACATGTAGGCCAGACCAGGTAAAGACAGCCGTTTCTTTCCCTAAACAACCAGGAGGGTTTTTCCAATAGTCAACATCAAGTTCTGTGATATCTTTTGTATCACCATTTTAAGCTTGTCCCCAGTTACCGCTTACAAATATTTCCTGAGTTTGTAGTCAGAATTAGCCCAGCAGCTTCCCTGCATATTTGTTCCACACATTTTACCCTGGCAATTCCTGGCCCACCCACTGTGCCTCCATCTCAATGCTGCATAAAGTAACTAAATCCATACCTGGCTTTTCAACTCCCTTTTCTTGGAATTTATATCCGCAGATACTTTACTCAGTGTGATTCCCCACCAATGGGCAGGGACACTCCTGGTCTTTACAGTATCTTCTCTGAAATGTAGGCATAACTAACCCAAGAGGCAACCCAATCAAAGGACACTTGTAATGCACATCCAAGTGTGTTTTAAAGGTTTTTCTGCCTCTACCATACTCTTGAGGTGATAAGATCGGGTATGCCCCACTGTTTGGGTGAAACAAATTATTTTCCAATTCTTCTATAAATTGATTTAAATGTGTGCCCACTGGTTATTTGCCTCCCCCTTGCCTCACTAAAAGGCACCATGATCCCAGAACACCATCGAGATGCTCTCGCATTACAGACAGGCGACTGGTACTGAATTTAACCAAACAGTCACCACAACCCAAGTGAGGGGTGGAGTTGAGGAGCGATTCCTTCACGATAACCTCAGCCAGGTATGGGAAATAAACCCATGCTATTGGCGTCACTTTGTACCACAAGCCAGCCATCCAAGCTAACCAACTCCATATATACCTTGCTTAAAACTCACAGACTCCTCCATTCCAAAGATGGTGCTTCAGCCATTCTGTTGATAACACTGACTGAAAGCTAACAATTTTCTTCACTGTAGCTCCTTGGTTATCTTTCATAAGACCTTAAGATATAGGAACAGGAGTTGACCCTTCGGCCCCTCAAGCCTGCTTTGCAATTCAATAGGATCATGGCTGATCTGCCATTCCTCACATCCACTTTGCTGCCCTTTCCCTGTAACCCTTGATTCCCCATTGATCAAGAATATGTCTGCCTCAGCCTTAAATATACAAAAGGACTTTGCCCCCACAGCTCCCTGTGGCAAGGAATTCCATAGACTCACAACCCTCTGAGAGAAGAAATTCCTCTTAGCTCAATCTTAATTTGAGACTATGCCCTCTGATCCTAGACTCTCCAATAAGTTGTGGTCCCAACATTGATCCCTGTGGAATCCCACTTATTACAAATTATCAACATGAAAAGTAAACCCTTATTCCCACTCACTGTTTTCTCCCCATTAGCCAAGCCTCTATCCATGCCAATATCTCACCTCCAACACCGTGGGCTCCGATCTAATGACATAACCTTTTGTGAGTACCTTATCGAATGCCTTCTGGAAGTCTAAATTCAACAAATCTACTATCCCTCTATCTACTCTGGTTGAGACTTCCTCAAAAAAACCCTAATAAGTGAATCTTTCAATCCCATTTCACTCATGCATCACAATACATTTTCTGTAGCTCATCGAACATGGACTTACACCAACTAGAGAGGTTAATCTAATGTTTATTTGACAT